TACAATCTCTAGGTATCTAAAAGAATGGTGCCCTGAATAGAATGCCCACATTAATGTTCCTTATCAGAATGAAAAAGATTATAAACATTTAGAATCACGTAAGTTTTATTAGTTAGGGTAAATGATCCACTGGGAAAAAGGAAAGAAAAAGAAAGAAAGGAAAAGAAAAGAAGAAAGAAAGAAAGAAAGAAAGAAAGAAAGAAAGAAGAAAAGAAAGAAACGAACGAACGAAGAAGAAGAAGAAGAAGAAGAAGAAGAAGGAAGAGAGAGAGAGGAGAGAAAGAAAGAAGGAGAAGAAGGAAGGAAGGAAGGAAGGAAGGAAGGAAGGAAGGAAGGAAGGAAGGAAGGAAGAGAGGAAGGAAGAGAGGAAGGAAGAGAGGAAGGAAGAGAGGAGGGAGAGGGAGACAGGAAGGAAATTAAAAAGGAATGAGACCTCAAAATAGAGTAAATTAAATATGTTTATTTCTCTAGCATGGCAGTCTAGTTCATCAAAGATGACCCATTAGTTTTGCTCCATAAGTTTTCCTAGGTCCTAAATTCTTTGCTGCAATAACCTCTAGACTGTTGTATTCTTATGTGGTGAAAATTGAGCAATTGTTACATTTGAATTTCAGACTTTGGGATGGTTAAAAATGTCAGGGTCCAAAGATAGAAGGCTTTCATTAATTTGGAGATGGCTGAGAAGTTGCTCATGTCTTTTCCATCCACTTTCATTGTTCTAAATCTAGTTATATAATTCCTCCTAGATGCAAAATATTATTAAATGAGGAAAAGATAGCCATGAGTCTTAGAACAGTGGTCCCCAATCTTTTTGGCACCAGGCACTTGTTTCATGGAAGACTCTGTCAGATGTGAGGACCACATGTCAGGTCTGTGTTCCCTGGTTCTTGGTTCCCAGTACTGAAGAATGGTTACTGGTACTGAGTTGACAGAGCAACTGGGCAGATCAAGCAGATGCAAGCAGGCAAAGTGCCAAAGTTTATTAAAGCATAGTGCATTCCAGAGAAGGTATGGGTCAATCCCCACATGTGTAGGAGACTCTGAGTTTAACAAAATGTTTGCTTTTATGATGATTCCCTAATTTAAGTTAAGTGGGGGGGTGGAATATTCATGGTTTTTCTTGGAAAGAGGTGGAGAATTCCCCAAACTGGGACCCCTCCCCAATTTTAACCATGTAAGGCAATTTCCAGGGTTTGCCATGGTATTTGAAACTCTCATTGCACTGGTGGGTATGATTTTTACTATGTTAAGAAGGGTAGGTTACTTGAGGATACTGTCATCTTGTACACATGCTCCAAAGACCCTCTTCTGTGGTGTTGGTCATATGGTTACCATATCTCTACTTTGTGGCCTTTCTACCTCTTTCTGGTTGGTCTGTCCTTGGAGACCCCCTATCACAGACCAAACACCTGTTCAGTTCTTGGACGTCCCCTTTACATATCATCTGCTGCTTTTTGGAAGCCCCCCTTGTCATCAATTTGTTCTTTCTGTTGTAGACAAAGCATCTCCTAGGCCATCTGCTCCTCGATGGGCATCTCTTAGACCAAGCATCTGTTCCCCTTCCTCCTCCCCCTGCCTAAAGACAATTTTTCCATTGACTGGGGTGGGGGGAATGGTTTGGGGATGATTCAAACACATTACATTTATTGTGCACTTTATTTCTATTTTTATTTCATTGTAATATATAATGAGATGATAATACAACTCACCATAATGCAGAATCAGTGGGAGCCCTGAGCTTGTTTTCCTGCAATTAGACAATGCCATCTGGGGGTGATGGGAGACAGTGACACATGAAGTGTGTTGCCTATGTCCAGTCTACTCTGTAATCTCGTCTTGGTTGCTGTCACTGCAGAAAACCCAGATTCATAAAGATAGGAAGTTGGAAATGAAGTAGGCTTTTCAGTGCTTTCATGGCAATCTCAGGATATTCCACCCTGACTTTAATCCAAGACATATGGAGATTTGAAGTTGTCTCAAACATATTTTTAAGGTGACCGTCACTTGTGATCTCAAGCAGTTGATCCTCTTCTAGCACAAAGTCAACTCACCTGGTTTATTCCCAAATAGGTCATGGATCCTTCCCTTCCCAGTCCGAGGGTCTTTTGTGGTTGGGGAGTAAATGCGGACACTCTTTTGAAAGCTGAGATAAGTGATCTTACACCAGCTAAGAGAAAGAAGGCCCTGGCTCAGTACCTTTCAAAATCTCTGCTAATGTTTGAAAGACGTCAAAAATCCCAGTGTTCACTCATCACTGCCATAATTCCAGTTTGGTTCTGAATGCAGCCACTTTGTCTTCCAACTAATTGTCCCCTGAGGTACCAGATTGAGTTCATCGAGCAGGTTGAATATGTCACACGAGTAAGCAAGTTTTGTGACTCATTCTGTGTCACTGAAATGTGCTGCCAGTGGTGACTGTTTTTCTAAAAGAAATCTCTGGAGTGGCTCTCACAATTCAAAAACTCTGGCCACTGATGTACCTTAGAAAGCCACCTCACTTCTGTGTATAAAAGAAGACATGTGTATTCTGCTCCCATCTCCTCATAGAGCTGCACATATAGACATGAGTTAAGGGCACATACTGTAATGTAGTTGATAATTTTAATCCATCCTACAAAATGTTATTTAGTTCAGATGACATTTTTCATCTAGCCATCATTTCTCAATAGATGACACGGTGCATAGACTCATATTCAGAAGTGACCTGAGTAGTGAAACCAGAAAGCTGTCAGTCATGCCAGCCTCTCCATTCATGCATATACCGACACAAAATGACCAATCAGTTTTCTGGATATGAAATCAGTCAGAGACTTGAATAGTTCTGCAGCTGTGGTGTGGTAGACAACAAAAGTGCACATCACATATCCTTATGCACATCCTCCTGAAAAATATGTCACACAAAAACAAGCATTATTGCCTTGTTGTCAACATCGGTAGACTTGTCAACCTGGATTGTGTACCACAGTGACTCATTAATCCCCTCTAATAATTGTGCCTCAGTATCCTCTGCGATTTCATCAATTCATCTAGTGCTTGCTGAAAGTGGAACATGTGCCACCTTTCGTGATGCAGCTTCTCCTAAAAGTTCACAGCAAATGTCCTTAGCAACAGCAAAAATCAACTCTTCACCAACAGTAAAGAGCTTCTTAGCTTTAGCAATGCTGTTAGCCACTAAGAGTGATGCTCTCAGTGCAGACACATTTGATGAAGTGGTGGCCTTCAATAATTGCTTCTGTTCTTCGTGTTCACATTTTTTGCTTTTGAAAACTCCAAAGGCTTGTCTTGCAATGCAGGGTGCTTTGTCTCCATGGGGAGAAGCAATTTTGAATTTCTTTTGGCTTGTTGTATAGCCAGTGGCCACATATTTTACAAAGTAGGCTTGGAGAATGTGAATCACCTGTTGCAATAAACCTGTACTTTAAGTAGGATTCTAGTATTTTCTTTTAAATGCAGCTTTCATTTTGTTGTCCATCTTATAGTGTTCTATAGTCTCATCATTGGGTCTTTCTTTCCCCGTTTTCAAAGAAGCTCTCAGCAATGTTTGTTTTCAATAATTTTTGCTAGGGTTGGCTTGTGGGCTTACCAAAACCGTGACTGAGACAAGTGTGCAGTGTGGGAAAAGAAGCATGGACAGAGTGGTATATAAAAATAATGGGTTGGCCACACATGGACTAAAATAAGTGTTGTATTCTGACTTAAAGCCTGCCACAAGATGCATCTGTACAATTGAAGTATATTAACTCATTTGCCATTACAAAGCCTGCCTCAGATGCAGCTTAATTGTCACTTGTCACTCACTGATAGGGTTTTGATATGATTCTGCAAGCAATTGATTTATTATGGTCTCTGTGCAGTCAAACCTCTCTGCTAATGATAATCTGTATTTGCAGCTGCTCCCCAGCACTAGCATCACCACCTCACATCCACCTTAGTTCAGGCATTAGATTCTCATAAGGAGTGCACAACCCAGATCCCTGGAATGCACAGTTTACAAGAGGGGTCACACTCCTATGAGAATCTAACGCCACGGCTGATCTGACAGAAGGTGGAGCTCGGGTGGTGATGCAGGTGATGGGCAGCAGCTATAAATGCAGAGGAAGCTTGTCCATGTTCACCTCCTGCTGTGCAGCCCAGTTCCTAACAGGCCACAGACTGGTACTGGTCTGTGGCCTAGGAGTTGGGGACCACAGTCTTAGAAGAATGGAAACACAGCTTCTGAGGAATAGTGGATCAATAAGTCTACAAAATAGCTGTACAAATAACAGCCACAGTCTAACTACATTCCATATACAGTAAGTACTTGCTTTGCTATCAAATAATGAGCATGCAAAACTATCAGGACCATGGAGGGTTCTGAGTTCAAAAGTTGATAACATATTTCCAGACTTTAGACTTTGAGCTCTATGTCAAAATTCACAGTGTAATTGATTTAAAACCAGAACTCTCGAGTAAAATAATAAACTAAGTGTTTAAAAAGATTAATGACAAATAAAAACTCTAAAACTACTCATGCAGCAAGCCAAATAGCTCAATCTGTATGAAATTCTTGTCAGAGACTGTGATGTGATCATTTTTATCAAAAATGTCTCTGTAAATTGCCATGTGATTAAACCAGAATCATTTATTTACAAATTCTAATTTGTAAGACATAGAGCATATGTTTTCCAGTCTATTTAATTTCCCTAAGTACTCTCTTGGACATTTTGGTATTAACAAGATATTTCTTTCATTATATCTTATAGCCTTGAATAATTTGGCCATAATAAAAATGATTAATGAGCCCAAATGGAGATTGTGTGCATATGTCCTATATGAGTACTACCTATACAGGAGCCGTTCTTCCCTGAAGACAAAGGATTCCCCCAAGAACAGAGATTTCCTGCAGAGGTTACTTGAAAAGTCAAAGCAGCATTAGTGCGCCTCTATCCAGCTCTCTGCGAGGATATACAGTATATTAAGTGTCCTACGAAGAATACCTCCAGCAGTCTCTCCATACTCACATATGTCTTCTCAGCTGTCAGAAAATTCTCTGGATTGCTTGCCAGTCTTTTTCTTATGGTCCCTGGGTAACCACAACAAATAATGATAAAATATTTGTGTCAGATACCTAAGCCAGCTCTGTCTTATAGCCCTGCAGGCAAGTCAAGCCTGTAAATCCTCCATCTATAAACATCCCCGGTCTGGCCTCCTCCCCTCCGCAGGCTTGCTGCCTCACGCAGCTGACGTGTCAGTCTACAATGTCAGGGAAATGACAGCTTTGACAGGGCTGGAGAGGGAGCGCTGTAGCTTATCCACTGTGGAGTCCCATTTGTCCCCGTGCTTTGTGATTCTTGGTTGGTCCTGAGGTAACTCAAGGTGGAAGGAGGAAATGTCGTGTGAGCGGGAAGACATAGCCAGGGTACAGAAGGAAGCAAGTCACTGTAGGCAGCAGCCCTCTGGTCTTTCTTTACTTGATTTGTTTGTGAAGGAAGTTCTAGTTTTGGAGTCGGGTTAATAATGTAACTAGAGAAATTTAGTTGAGAGAAAGAGGAGGCAACCTGACAGTAAAAAACTTCTCTGTAGTGAATCATATTCTGTCATTTATTTTGGCCAATGGTGAGATATGCACAGGTTGACAGTATTTCTTCAGTGCTGTCGCTCCAAGTACTCTCATTGTTTTCTCCTTTTAGCTACATGGTAGGACTGCAGTTCTTTACTCTCTTTGAGGTTAGCAAGTCAAACGTGACTTGCTTTAGATAATAACGTAGAAGAGGACAAAGCACAGAACGCTGTGGTTCTCATTGCCTACAGGAACCACTGGCCACACTCTCCCGAAGGCTTTATTCCTTCCCTGTTCACTTTCCATAAACAAGACGCTAGTGTGTTAGCTCTCCTTCACTCAGAAATTCCTGGTGGAGAGGTGCACCTGCCTGAATGATTTTCTTGTTTATGCCGCTGCTGGCCAGCTCCCCTCCCCCACAGCCGCCATGCTAGACAATCAATGACTGAGAGAACAGGCCAGTTGGCTTTACAAAGAGCTCTGCTGATATAGGTGAAAGGTGTTTACCTTAGCCAAAGTTTTAATGGTGCACATTCTGTAACATGGGTGCCTGTGACTTGGTGTGTGATTACCTGCAAACAAATGACCATGATTCCAGTTCCAGTCATAATGGCTGCTTTGATGCAGAAAGCAGATACAGAACAAAATATGGGTACTTGGTCCATGAGAGAATTAACTAGAATGTAAAACATGTAAGTTAAAAAATAATTATAAATAGTAAGCAACAAATGGCACAGACAGAAAATATCACAAGAAATCAGGAAGCAAGAGGGGTTTAAATGCATGCCGAAATGGAAAATGAGCAAAGAGTTTGAGGATATTTGAATGTGGTAGTCATGACAAAGAATTGCAAAGTGTCTTGTAGCATGCCCTTGACATGTGCAGGGGAACATTTTTTATTTTATTTTTTTATAAGAGCTAACAAGATGTTTACTAAGCTTTCTAACTCAGCGATCAAAGATAGCTGATTGGGCCAGAGAGATCAAGAACATCTTCACAGAGGAGGAGGATCTACTTGTGCCTTGAAGGATAGAAAGGCTGATAC